ATCTGCTACTGCTCTCTGATTATGTCTCTGATGACGAATCCGCGACGGATCTAGAAACGTCAGACGAACAAAAGTATTGTCCCAGCAATCGAGTCGTCTTCTTCTCACTTACTTCCTGGGACTTGCATGTTCGTTTGTATTGGCAGATCATACCTCTTTAAACGGACTCCGATACACCAGCCTGTCTTTCGTAACCAACAGGATCGCGTAATGTGCCCCGCTTCGAGATAACATGATGGGCTAGGCAGGAATCCAAATTTTAACATTCGTTTTTTTTTTTGAGTCAGAATTCCATACTGATTCGTTTGAAACGCCGATGGGGGGCTGTGCTATTAAAAAGTATCACTGGCAGAGACCAGGGAAACTGAGATGCCCACGTGTTGCTCCTTAGTCGTTATGCGACAGACAAAGCGAAATGCGCGTTTGGGTAACCTAGGATTTGATGCCAAATTAATTGGGAACTAATTACCAAGCATTCCAAGTTCCCATGTGCGCCCTGGAACATCTGGCAAATCATATCTCTTGAAACAGACTCTGATGATACACAAGTCAGCCTTTTGTAACCAACACAATCACGTAATGCATCCTGCTTCGAAATCATATGATGGGCTCGGCAGGACTCCGGATCTGAAGATACCCTTTTTAAAGTCAGAATTCGATACTGATTCGTTTGGAATCCCAATAGGAGGCTGTGCTGTTAGGAAGGAACGCAGGCAAAGATTATGGAGACTGGAATGGATTTATTGGTCTGACAAATGCGCCTTTGGGTAACCAAGGATTCGACGCCAAATTTATTGCGCGTTAAGTCCTTAACTGCCAATGAGCCACGGGTCTGTTGTTCCATGATGTTATTACTTTATGCATCTCGATGAGGGGCACCCCTCCCTCTCTTTCTCTCCTTAAATCGATAATCAATGGCTGGTCGGTCATAATTTGGATTCCGGGATGACCATTTGTCCCATTTTTGTAGAGTTTCCTTCACGTACAGTTAGTGGACAATCTCACGCAATAAGTTAAAAAACGTAATAAAAGTCATTTTGTGGTAAGTCAGCTTGCGCGGCGTGCGCCCAAACTAATATAGCAGTAAAGTTAGAACTATCAGTAAAAAAAGTCAGAGTTTGGTTGAGAAATTACTATTTTGCTAGCATAGAAAAATGTAAAAGAGTCAGAGTTTGGTTGGAAAAATTACCATTTACTAGCATAGAAAAATGTAATTTTCACAAAAATCTGCTAACTCAAGAAATGGCAATATGAAAATTTACTGGTCCAATGTGAAATAAAAGTGTCTAAGGCATGGGAATGGAAAAGGGTGGCAAGGTAATACACAATAAGTACAGATACAACATTTTTATAAACTAAATTTTTTCCAGTAACATTTAAACTTGCACTAAATGTGTCGGAAAGGGATGTAGTCACCTTAAGTACAGTTTCTTCCAAATGCAGAATCTTCGGACACATTTCCGTTTTTAATGCACGAAAAGATTCTTGCGTGCTTTGTATCAATTTCTATTGACAATTGCAAAAGATTTTCGATGGGAATCACATCCCGGCTGTTGAGCGAAAAAAAATACATTGACTGCCACACACGGATAGGCTGGCTGTCTACTAAAAGGTTAGATTACGGTTGTACTTGTTAATTCATACCATCTTGTGTATGTTGAAAGAAATTTCCGTTTGTCACATTTAAAAAATTATTTCGTGAGTTCGAGTGCGACGAGGAGCAAACTGTTTTCGAAATTATGTTTAACACTTAACGAATTTCACAGTTCTGCGTTGTTGGTCCATAAATACTGATTTCGTTCAACCTATTTACCGAAAATTTTCGCCACTTGTCCCCCACCCCCACGACTACCCCTGTCCTCTTCTTTATG